TCATCAAGGGCTCTGAGAGAGGAAGAAATGCCCACAGGCTAAGAAGAGCCAATGAACAGGTAACACCAGGACAGATAATACCCGAGGTCAAGTGCCAGGTCCCTTCAAACAAGGGTGCAGAGGACATCAGGATGCCACCATCCTGGACACAAGTAGATCCAGTAAGCAGGAATTTTAATTGCTTGGGACAGTACCAATTGTTGGTACTTTAGAGACAGCATGAATAAATTACTTCCTCCCTCTATACTACACCCCCATTTAATCTCGTTTAGTTCTCTGCCCTAATTACTGGCAATTGGATCACTTCAGAGAATAAAACAGAGATGTAGGACTCTAAAAAGTAAAATGTCTACAGCTCGACAGCAAGCACAGTCTGGGGACATGGAGAAATGGAAAGAAATACCTGGAAATTTGTTATTTCTTATTTCTTCTCCTTTTTTTAAGAGATGGGGTCTTGCTATTCTGTCCAGCCTGGCCTCTATCACTGCAGCTCAAACAATCCTCCTGCCTTAACCTTCCAAGTAGCTGGGGTTATAGGCATACACTCAGCACTCAGCTGATACCTAAAATTTTCTAATAACCTAAGAGAATTCATAGAAATCAATGAAGTAAAAATTGCCTTTCTTTGCTTCTAAAAATATGTATATTTTTAATAAGCAAAAGACAGAAATACTAACGTTAAATATATTTTAAGCTCCCTGAGATGACATACAGTGATTCCACCGAGCACAGTGTTACAGTAGGACATAAATTATTTACAAGGATAATTTAGGATAAAACCAAATGCCTGTTCCAACACATACACAAGATAAGTTGTATCTTTATGATTATTCATTGCTACAGATTTATTCATGTCAAGCAACTTATCTCATTTAAAATCCTCAAAATAATTTTGGCATAAATAAAATCTTATTTAGTAAGTCCCTGAGCTCTTTAACAGTCCCAGAGGCCGATTTCAGTCCTGCCTTCTTTGCTAACCACCTGGGCCCCCTCTGTCCATGAAGCCTTGCTACCGTCCCCAGACTCCAGCCACCTTAACTCTCCCCTCACATTTATTCTAGAACACTTAATGATTTCCACCTGTCTCTTGTCTGCTCTGCAGAAGTCATGCAGCTCCTCTGACATGAAGACTTAAGTGTCCTCACTCCAAAGAGGACCCTGTACAACACAAAGGAAGCAGGCGGGGTACAACTCATGCATTCTTATTTTCTCCAAAACGGCTAACGGTGGTCAGTGTTCTAAGGTCACCAGGGCTTTGTGCCTCAGATGCTCATCCAAACACTGGATGGCAAAGGGGTCAACATCTGTGTCAAACTTATTGGCAAAAAAGTGGTGCTTACGCAGCATCCATTTCAAGTCGCCAACCCCGAAAACGCACACAGAGCGCACGTGCACCCCACTGCAGGGCGGGTAGGGCGCGCCCTTGGAAACATCACCTTCGAAGTACTGCCACTTGACAAACCTAGCGACAGCATTCATGTCAGACAAGTCATACTTATGGTTTGAGGAGAGTGAGCCAGGGACTTCGGGGATCCTTTGGATGGTGGCCCAGAGGTACTCATCGGGGCTGTATGTGTCTTGGGCCCACTCCATGAACTTCTGGATGTCTTCATTCTCTAGCACATAGCCCACATATTCCCTACTGGCCACAAAGTAGGCACTGCCCGAGAAAAGGGGAAATCTGAGTGGAGGCCGCTCTTTGACCAACCCTGTGTTTATCAGCTGTCCGTTAACAACAGCATGACTTTTTCCACCTTTCTTCTTTATTGGAGGGCATCTTCTCAGTCTCCAGGTTGTTTTCACCCATGAACAACTCAAGTTTCCTCACGATTTCCAGGTTGGTTTTGATCGGGAAATCCATACCACAAAGATTGATCAAGTACTTCCAGTTTGCACTCATCTTGTAGAGGTCCTTCATGCAGTTGAGGTCAGCCTGAACCCGACTCCATGAAGCATAAACCACACTCTCCAACTGGCTGGCCACAAAGACATTATTGAAACAGGATGCAATGCCCGTCACCGCAGCTAAAAAAGACTCTTCTGATTTTCTGTCCACATGAATGCAGTAGAAATTCTGAGGCATATAGATGGCCCTCAGGAGCCTGTCAAGCATTTCAATTTTGTGATGAACCACTATAGAATATGCGATTGGGAAATCCGCCTCTTCTTCACTAAGGGGCTCTACAATATATTTGCGCATCTTGATGAAAGAGGTCCAGTCACTGGTCATGTTTATGTAGTCATATGGTGTCCACCGAGGGCGTTTTCTGAATTTCACTGTTAGCAGCTCAAGCTTCACTTTCTGGATTTCATCTTTATCACCCTGTAAAACTTTGGTGCAATTAATGTTGCTATTAGGATTCTCTTCAAAAAGCTCCAAGTGTCTAACACTAACAAATTCAGGCTTTAGATGAATTCTTAAAACACAGAATGTAATTAAAGAGAAAACAAGGCCCATAAAATAGTATTTTACAGGATAAGAAGAAAGTCTCCTCTGAAACAAATTCCTCAGCATTTCAAATGAAATCAGGGCCTTTGCTTTGTTGAGGACAATCTTCTAGGCGTTGGACATGAATGATTCTTCCTCCAGTTTTCCCTGTCATCATCAGGAGAG